GTATCTGTGGGTCCTGTACCTGTCAGGCCCAGTACCTGTGGGTCCTATACCTGTCAGGTCCCATACCTGTGAGTCCTGTACCTGTCTGATCCTGTACCTATTGGGTCCCATACCTGTCGAATCCTGTAACTGTGGGTCTTATACGACCTGTAGGTCCTGTACTATTGGGTCATGTACCTATTGGGTCCTGTACCTGTGGATCCTGTACCTGTTGGGTCCTGTACCTGTTGGATCCTGAGAGCCTCAGCCCACATCGTCTGTTTTTCACCAGACCCTCACTATTGCACTCTGGGGCTGGAATCGCCATCCTGTGCCCACTACCCCCTAGGGTGGGAGGAAGACAAAGGGAAGGTTGGGGTGGACATCGCAAAGGACAGAGGCTTCAGGGATGCAGGGGACCTTCTGGGAAGTTTCACATTAACTGGATCATGAAACGTTTAGCATTATACCTAAAAACCACCCTGGAACATGGTGCCCATCACATTTATTTATCATTACCCTTAAAGTGGGTCAGGCCAGTTTTATTAAACCCAAACTGATCCAGAGAGAGTAAGGGGGCGTCTTAAGTCTACCCAGGAGGGAGGAGAGGGGCTGGCGGAGCAGAGCCCGGGGCTGTAGACTCCCACCCCTGTGCTTTCTCCACTTGACCGTGCAAAAGAGACTCACATGGCCCCCAACCCGGCCCATCTCTCTGATCACCTCCAGTGCCCACCGTCCCTCCGGGCAACGTGCATGCAGAAGCCACCAATTCCACGGCCATCCGCTTCACCTGGAACGCCCCCAGCCCCCAGTTCATCAACGGCATCAACCAAGGCTACAAGGTACCGAGGCCTCTGCTTGCCCCGTGGGGAAGCCTCGAGACTCTCTGAGGGATGACGGGGAACTGGGGAGGGGGAAGACAAGGGAGGGAGCAGGCGAGAGTCCTCCCTTTGGTTCTGAAGTCATTGGCTCAAGTCAAGCAGAGGACACATAATAAAGGCCGAGGGCACGAGGCCATGCACAGGCCAGGGTATGGGCACTGCCTGGTCTGTGACCCAGTGCAGGGCCCATCCTCGGGGAGACTGGTTCTAAGTAAATCCGGGTTGTTTCAAGCTCAGGAACACCTGGGCATAGCTGTGGTGCCATCAGAAAAATCGAGAAGCCGCTTCTCACTGCCAAGCTGTGGTTCTAATGGGCATCTAGTGCTGGGACATGTCTCCTGGGGCTGTCCTGCACCCAGTAGAATATGTCGTGGGACTCAGGCGGACTTGGGTGGAAATCCTGGCTCTGCCACTTGCCGCCTCCCTGGATGCGTTCCTTGCTCTGTCAGAGCTTCGTTCATTCAATCAATATTGACTGAGCACCGACTCTGTGCACTGTGCTAGCTTCCCAGGAACCAGAAACGAGCTCAAAACAAAAAGAGAAAACTCAGTCCCCCCACGTGAATGGAGACGATGATAACACCCCTTCCTTAGGGCTGTATGAGGATTAAATGCGGTCATTGTGATTTGTTCAGCACACTGACAGACACAGGCCTCAGACGATGATTTTAGTAGTAGTTGTTGCTGGGTATTGCCAAGTCGATTCTGACTCATAGCAACCTCATGTGACAGAGTAG